TGCCTTTAAGAACTTGGCCCGCGATTCTGATCCTCGCTGTAAATTGCAATGGAAAAACCAGAAACAGGTCAAGGAATTAGTTAGCTCTGAGATACCATCTGGGACAGAAGAACTACAGCGGAAGAAACCTTTTTCACCTTGGAGTTTGATTTGGATCTGTTGCTGCTATTGTTGGAAACAGAGGACTTATCCTTTGATTGTTTCTTTGCAGTGCCAGCCACAACCTCAAAAATTGTTGGGAGGTCATTGACCATATTGAAAAGCCTTTTCCTGCAACAAAAGGAGGAAGAACATTAAATCACAGAGAGCTGCATAAACCTTGAATCAAGTAACAAACAAATTAAACTGCAAATGAGCAGAAGAACGTGAGGTTTGACAAGAGTAAGTAGTATCACGTAAGATTAAGATCGGTACAAGGAACATAGACACAAGAAGATAAAACTCAAAAACTTCTCGACATAAAAATGCTTGAAGTGTGACAAGAAGATACACATACCTATCAGCTTTGTCAAACCCAAACCTGGCTCCGAAAAAGAAAGCCACTGCAAGAAGCCATGCATCACTGTGGACAGCAACAAGGGACAGCCAATCCTTTTCCAGCATCCCGTCTCGGGCAAAGTTGATACCCAAGACAGGCTCTGGGAGCTCCGGGGGAACTTCTTCAGCTGGCAAGTTCACCTCCCAGTTCTCATTCGGGTGCCCATAGAGGCACAGGTTCTCCTTATCTATAATCACAAAAGGAAAAACGAATACATTAGGAAATATCATCGCACAATCAGATTACGTAAACCAGCCAAAAACTGCCAAACAAAAAAGAATCAAAACTGATTACTCGTTCATAACTCTATCGAAACAAACAGCAACCAATTATGGCAAAATAGTCCAACAGGCTTTATTATAAGATATGACCTAATTGGAAAATAACATTTCGCGGGCGATTGCATATCTAATCACAAAACATCGAGAAAATCAGCAGATAACCAAGTTGTAAATTTTCAAAACATCCATGATGTCACAAATTAAAAATCTCTTAACGGAAAGAGCACCAAAAACACTAAGCCAAATGACATAAATCAAAGACACAATGATTCTCTGACTAATTAACATCTGAAACAACACGATTCATCAATAAGAAAAGCACCGCAAACGGAAATTTTTAAAACAGGATCAAGCTGACAGGTTCAGACTGAACTGCGAGGAACAAATCATCGATAACACTGGAAATCAAATCACCATAACTAAGAAGACACAGAACCAAGAACAAACCCAAAAGTGATTCAGAGAGCACTTTCAAGTCTCCCAAATCCCTTTCAGAGTCTAATCTGTTCTTCCTCCCCTGTATACATACTATTCAAAGATCTCACAATCTACAGTGTTGAACCCAGGAAAAGTGATTTCACATCAAAGAAATCGATACAAATAGAACAAAAACAAGTCATTTGAAAACCAATATTCAAAAACTCAGATTTTTTTTCAAGTCAAACAAAAATCAACACTTGACTTCGCTGCTATCGAAACAATTCACTTCCCTGAAAATTCATGAAACACAATTCAAAAGAAATCAATTTTCTTCACAAACCAGAGCAGAGAAACCAATTAACCCTAATGCTCATCTCTCAAAACAAAGCACAAGGAAGACAATTTTCACAAAAGACAGTGACTTTCTCTCCGACGGACCAACAAAAACCAATCTGGAAGGAACACTCACCGGGATCACAAAGTCGGTAAAACTCATGAACATCTGCAATAAGACAAAACCCAAAACTTCAATTTTCCGGCATGGAACAGAGAAAATGGGGAAAATTCAGAGACTTTTGAATCAGAAAAAAGCGTTAGATTCAACACAATTACCAGAGGTTAAAGCCTTAATCATCCCAGCCCTTCGGCCCTTGAAATCCCTAAACACTTCCTCCACCGTTCGTGGGTTGTACGCGCCACCAGCGTCCATGACAGAGCTCGTCGTAATCTCACT